ACAACTAAGCAAAAAAAAGTTACAACTAAGCCAAAAAAAAAGTTACAACCCAGCTACCAAACTGAGGGCACCGAAGGCGCCCACAAGGCAAAAGAAGAGCTTATGGATCCTTAGCTGCTCGTGAGGTGCAAGGTCCTTACTTGAAACAAGCAGAATGATGCACATCAAGATTCTGAGGGACTGCAGACACCAAAAAAAATCACGAAAAAGCCACAGAAAAAGCGGCCCCTGACAGTAGATTATAATCCAGAAAACTGCGCTTCCTTGCACGCTTCGTCGAAAAGACAACGCCACGAAGCACTCCCCACCGAACCGGGACCCAGGTGCTCTAGAGTTACATTCTTGAATGCTCCAGTTTCCAAGACCTTGTGCCCCAGGATCACTGCGCACTCAAAATCACTCAAACAATGCTTGCAAGGATTCCTCACACCACGGAAACTGAACCCCACACCACGGCACTCAAGGACCGATGTTCCGGTTCTTTGTAGCTTGCCTTTACTGCATGGCCGTGATGCTTTGGCCCTGCAGTCTCATGTCTGTGATAACGAACAAAGCTGTGCAAAGAACGGGTAGTGAGCTCTTTGTTGATCTGGCCAGAGACTCTGCAAAGATCATTTGCCTAAACAACTTACAGGAGCTGCACTGAATTACTCATCTGCCCTGTCAGCTGGAAATTTTGAGTCCTGGTGCTTTACAAAACTAATCAAGCTGAAAGGGAGGTGAGCGTGTCGAATTGGGAGCAGGTCCAGCATGCTGCAATGACCTTCACTCGCCCCTTGCAGAAAAATGGACTACAAGGCGAGACCTCAAGCAGTTCCCCTGCAGGGAACACCTGTAAGTGCTCAGCCATGCCATCCATCTCAAGCACCACCTCAGCTTGAACAGAACAGCTTAGGTAATTCAGGCACCTTTAGCAGCACATTTCACCGCCTGCAGCGTGCAAGATGGGGGAAGCCTGATCTAACTCCAGTGCAGACGTGCAAAGATGCGAATATTTGAGCTGACCCGCCTTCTCCAAGAGCTTGCTCTGCGATGGCAGCCTAACTCTGCACAGCTTCACATCAGCGAGCGCTGTGGTCCGGAGTCCTAGATGAGCGCCAGGCATGCAGAACAGTTCGCCGGGCTGGCCGGGGCTCTCCTGCGGAATTCATGAATGTCATGCCAATATTGCCAATGAAGAGAAGCTGCAAGGCATAAATCTATAATGAATCGGCAAAATTCCATGGAGAAAACTATGGAGCTACCGCGTGGACAAACCTCCAGACCGGTGCCAAAGTGCTAGATGCACAAGTGTAGCGAGGGTTCGGCCGAAAACAGTGCATTCAAGTTCATCAAACTTGTAGGGCCTGTGACCAAAACATAAAATGCCTTGATTTGCGATGTCACCCCTAACCTAAATGTGCCGCAATCCGCAACATTTTTTTGCGAGCAAAGCGCTAGGTCAAGAATAGGCGTGCTTCCAGAAGTTCATGAGTTGCATGCACACAGTCCACCATTGGAGCACATCCAAAGGGCTCATCCCCGCCATTGCTGCCTCTATGCATATCTTCCAAGTCAGCCAGAATCCAGCGCTGCCTCGGAAGTTCTGGGGCTGGCATCACACAGACAAAGAGTCAGAGACAGAATTCATTGGAAAATGTACTGGCACAACACCATGTGGTGATTTGCGATTTACAGCGAAGCGTCACATCTGCTGCTTGCAGTGGGCCGACTAGGTTCAGGCGCACAGCTGCCGAGACGGCGTCCCGCACACAGCAGTAGAGGAAGGCATGCACGCTTACTTCCTCCGGCAAGTCCAGCCTCGTAGGAATGTACATGTAAACAGCGGCTTCAAGATTCAAATATATCCACACCAATGCGTGCGTTTTCAAGATGGCTAGACACAGGCAAAAGCATTGCGCCACAAGGCTCGAGAAAACGACGACAGCAATGGTCGAATCAACAATGCGTGACGTGCAATGATAGAGACAGGGACCTATGCACAGTGTCACGGCAGACAGGGGCCAATCCTGGGATCATGGGCTACATTCAGCATTACTGAAGCAACCCGCTGCCATGAAAACTCGGCTCCCCAGTGAATCACGGTGTCACTGCGAACTTTCATCCAGCTTGCCTGGCACAAAGGAGCCCGAAAACGCTGGCAAAGTGCCCGCTCCTGTCCAATTCACACCAGCGGCGACCAAGGCGGCTCAAGCCAGCTCCTTGAAGCAGCGATGCCCGACAAGCCAAGCCGCCAGCGAGATGGGCATGCAACTCCGCATCTAGCTCCTGCCAAACATCCTTAGAATCACCCCGCCGATCAAGCTGGTAGGCTCTCCTCAGAAATTGGCCCTGCAAGCGTAGCGCTGAGAGTGACAGCATCTTGACAAAGTTGCGAAGTCCGTCCACGGAATCTACATCACCTTCCCGCCGGTTGAGGAGGCCTAGCTGCAAGGCAGCTTCGATCCCACCGGAATGGGCGAAGCCGCCAACTGGCAGTGAAGAATCAGTCAAATGACATAAGGCAAACTGGTGCTGAAGATTCAGCTCCAAAACTTCAGCTTGCTTGGGCTTCCGGGATCTTGTGGATGGAGCCTGGGGCTCACGTGTCTGAACAATCTCAAATGGTCCCGCACCATGCACCCGGTCAGAATAAGGCTCAGCACCCAAACAGCTTGCAAGGGGTTCCATGCAAAAGTGAAGAAGGCGATAGACGTCTTCAGAGTTTTCAGCCATGAGACGTGCCACCGTGCACCCAGATTTTTCATCAGTGGTAACCCCCATGATCGCTCTGCCCTTCAGCTGCGGCAAGATTGCATCCGGGCAATCGCCTGTCGCACTGCTTGCTGGCGACCTCACTCTTGCCCCTGTTCTCGCAGCGAGAAGAAGCGCAGCACTCTTTATTCTACTGACCACAGGTGCAGCACGCGATCCACACGCAAAAATGTTGACGAATGCATCGAAGGATTGAAGCGGATTGTCAAAGAACTTGCAGTCATCTTTGCTCAGGCGCAGTGCTTCAACTAGCCGCGATCCACATCCTTCCCAAACGAATTCGAATCGAGAGCTGTAGTGGTCGAAAGCCCACCGCTCTCCCGAAGCAGTTCTGCCTGCCCCCAGCCAGTCCACAATGACAGCGGATGCCATTTCATTTGCTTTGCTACAGTGGGTAGCATCACTTGCATCTGACTTCAGCGTGAAGCGCATCTCTTGAGAATACTGCCTTGAACTAGACCCGAAGAATGACCATCACGACAACCGGAGAATTGTACACATGCTGCGGCCTAGCTTCGAACTTGCGAACGGGACCAAAGGATCTGGGGCAAGCACCAAGAGTCCTCCATTCGCGATGGTGGCAGTAACTCGCTGAACTGCTTTGACATCTTGGTCGGTTCGATAGACCTTCGTGGAAGCCTGCCAGGGGTAAGTCTTGAGACTTCAGGGTGTTTTGTGTCTTTTGCCATGCGCTCTTGTTAAAAACCTTGTCCTGGGTCACTAGGGTGAGCGCGGCATGAGGTTGAACTTCTACTGCCATGTCAACCTCATCTCCAGCCAGAAGACCGCCCCCGAAGCTGCCGATTGCGCACCATGCCACACCACTCCGCCTCAGAAAATGCCATCAGCTTGTCGCTCCAACTATTCAATTGGCCCATGTGAGATCAAGATACAGCCCGAGGTTCTCTACTGCCGAGTTGACCATGGGAAGCAAACGCACAGGTGAAGCATGGGTGAGGCGAAGAATGGACGACCCATTTCCAATCCTGGAGACGACAATCTGCGCGCCACCCTTCTGTGGGCGCCGGGTCGACAGCTGACGACACAGGCTCCAGGCCCTCGAGGCCCCATGGTGCAGCCGGAAAACGGGGGGCCCCAGCATGACCGGCTTGCGATGAAAGCTGCACAGCATCACTGCATCTAGTTTTCTCACCTTGCTGAAACAAAGGCTCTGATTTCTAGCCTGCGGCTCACAGGAAACCCAGGAACCCCCCCTTTGCAGGCATACAGCATGCAGCAAGCATGCAGTCACGCAGCTCCAGCAGGGCGGCTTCCACGTCATCGCAGAGCGCCGCGGAAGCCTGGCAGCTGTTCAGAAAGTAGAATCTAGGACACAAACAAATGGAAGTCTTGGTCTCCAAGCCCCGTTGCCTTGGCATAGCCGTCAAGCTCGCGCCTGCTCCAAATTGCTTGAAAATTCTGATAGTTGATGCAGTGGCACGTCCGCAACGCAGAAGCAACTCAGAAAGAAACACTGAGTCCAACATCTCTCTTCCAAGCTAGGTCACGTACAGAATTTAGCATGTCGCGATTCTGCCATCTTCTTGTACACTCCCGCGGAACGTGATTCGGGATGCACAAAGAAGGAGGTGATGCAAAGAGTGCGCAAAACCCTGAAACGGTTCGCAGAAGCAGACCCGAAGCAACCACAAGGTAGATAACCTCATTAGGAGCCATCCAACAAAGCGTCAGAGGCTGTGGCATGATCAGCTGCCGATGTTCCTCTAGACGCTCTTCATCTCGGCGAATTTGCTCCTTTCTACAGTAGCTACAGTTGCTGCATTTTCCAATCAGCTCAAACTGCTCTTCAGCTCTGTCAGCTCTGTGCCGAGGGCTCCTCCAACTGCGTGCGTTCATGGGCTCCTTGGGTCTGTAAGGAGGCCAAGGTCAACTTCAGCTTGTCAACCTGGAGGCGGGAAACACGGACGATACGAAAAAGCTGCTTGAGCTGTATGCCACCTCTGCCGCATCTCGTAGTGATGGAGCGGCGCTGCCAATAGAAATCTGGCAGGCTACACGCATGAGAGCACAACAATGAGCAAGCAACGGTCACAGTGTTGTGGCAAGAACACCTCGTGCACCGCATCCTGCGCAGAAATTGGCACAACAACGGCGTGCAATCTGCATTGAACCTACATTCTTCTTGTTTGGCCTCAGTCGCTTCCGTAGTCTTCTGCGCATCCTCTATCTGCGAAGCGCTCCACTCACGGTACTCCTGGCAAGACATCTTGATTATGGTTGCAGCAGCCTCCAATGCTACATTCACTCTGCTGTCCTGATAGATGCGGGTGAGCTGTTCGTGCCTTGCCCTCATGTGACGGGATTCACCCTCCTGGCAAGAATGTTGAAGTGCTCCTGTTGCTGCCGTCACCCCAAGCACCAACAGACCTTCTCCGCGAGTTCCGTCTGAAGGCCCCTCTGCTCCTAGAAAAGAACTTGGACTGCATGCTCTCAGTGCTTTCCTCAGCTGGACCTCGAGAAGCTCGTGAAGGGCCAGCTCCGCTTGCTGGAGCCGCTCAGCATGAGAGGAGGAAGCCACCTCAAAAGCTCTTGGAGCAAGGTACAGGCTTCTTCACTTCAATTCATATCATCAATATGATGGCGTTTACGTTGCCGCATGTAGGTTCTGGCCTGCGCCCAGCTCTTCTGATCGTCAAAAGCGAGCGATGCCAAAGCATCACTGGGCTCAGACAAGTCCACACCTCGTGCTTTGTTGTCACAGCAATTATTGCCGTCACCTCGCTTGATCAACAGTTACACCCTCAGGTCGGCACGGACTCTGAAGTCAAAGATATCTGCCTAGCTCAAGTTTGGCATGGTTTTGCGTGATCCGCACGTTTGGATTCAGCCTCCTCCTCTGTCAAGGCATGCGTGAGATACTCGACCGTGTCATTGACCTTGCCATAGCCAATAGGCTGGCAGCTGACAGGACGAGATCATGCGTGTCACCTGACCTGGCGGACCCAGCGACCAATCTCTTCAGCACGGCTCTTCCTCCAAACAGAGAACCAAGCAAAGGCATTGTAGGGACCGGTCATTTGAGGAATCTGCTCTTGCATGCCCAGTTCCCACACTTCTTCATCAGCCCGTTCGCCTTCAGCCTGCCAGAGCATGTCACACCACCGCATAAGACAAGAATGTGACACATCGTCTGGTCTTTCAGTCCTTCAAGTCTTTGAAAAGCTGCCGCAGGTGGGACCGCTCAGCATGCAGGCGCTCGATGTCTCTTCTTGAGTAAGCCTGCAGAAACAAACGGAAATAGACTAGGACATTCTTTGGAAGCTCCTCACAAGTGAAGCAGGGCCTGGCTCTCAACCTGTTCCGCCAACCAAGCTCTCTTGGCCTCAATTGACAGAGGTGGACGCGCAGCAGGGCAGCAAGGCAAGTGCACCTGCAAGCTTTCAATCTCCTTCTGTTGCTCCCGCTCTTCGGCCTGTTTCACACAGTGTGGAAGCTGTCCACAGAACCCATCACACTGGATGCATCTTGATTGACTAAAACAAATCTAGCACAACAAGGCTCACTTTACACTTCCGATTCATCACCTGAATGCCACTGACGGATCCAAGCAGCCCTGGCATTTTCCTTATGCTCTATCATGACAGCATAACAGCCCTTCGGCTTTGTGGGGGCCTTCCCAAAACAAGTATAGCCGCAGCAAAGTTTGCTGTGCAGAAGACAAGTGAAATGAAGAAAATTGGCACGCTCGCCACAATCTTTAAACGGGCCGTGTACTACTCTAACATATACCAAATGGCCGTAGTATGCAAGTGCCTGCAGCAGAGGTAAGTTTACGTTGTACGACTAGAGGGGATTAAAGGCTTTGACTCAGTTCAAAGCTGCCAATGCTGCTTGCAATACAAAGACTGATACTATCTGATATCCAACTTAGCAGACTTCGAACCCCTGCACAACAAGAACCAAGCCTACGTTGCTTGAGCAGTGCACCTCTTTGCAGATCGTCTCATCCTCAATGGTCTGTACTTTGTGCTCCTGCGCCTGTCATGGACCAAGATGTGCAAATGCCTCTTTTTGTTTTGCCAGCCCCAGTGACCCTGACCTGAATGATGCTACGCAGCCGATCAGCTTCCATCTCAAGCCTCAAAGCCAAGTCTTCAGCTAAAACATCGCAGGTGCAGATAGGTATCAAAGCTTTTGGAAAATCCTGCTTTGCCCATGCAGCGCTGAAGCGTGGACTGGGCGGGCACTTTCTGGAGATCTTGGAGTCTTTCATGTTCCGCTTGAAAATCCTGTAGCCTCACAGCGGTGCAATGTTAAATATGCTAAGACATTCAGTGATTCAAAGACATTCAGACATCAAAGTCTGGGCTGCTGGCTTCTGCTGCATTTCCACCTGCTGGTTCTCGAGCCGTTGGATTTCTGCCTGCAGCGCTTCGATGCGCTGCATGTAGATCATCCGCAGCCTGTGTGGAAGGAAGCAACGGAGGAATGTGTGGCTATGAAAATGACTCTTTTGAAACTAAGAACACGCTTACCCGGTTTATGCCTCTCTTCATCTCCACTGTCATCCTTGCCACTCAGGAAGTTCAAGTAGTTTTCGTGTAGAGATCTGAGAACATGATGGTCGCCTCAGTCATCCGAACGAAATTGCCTCCAGCAAATTGAGCAACTGCGAAAGGTCACCTGCGTCACGATCAGGATCACCCACGTCCTTACACAAAAGACACACAGGATCCTCTTCATTGACATATGCATCCGCACTTTGACACATGGGTTGAAATGCGGCCGGCTTTCTGATAGCCCCAGTTGACACGCTGCCAAGGGCTCTATCAAATCATCGTTGATGCGGACCTGAAACAAACAAAGCTCGCAGGAAGCAAATGCTTATATGTGGATTTGACACTTCTTCCAGAGCTCTGCTGTAGTGTAGGCGTCAGGCAAGAACAGTAAGCCAATCCAGCACTGCCAGCAACTGCCTTGCATCTTTTCAGTCTCCAATCTGATGCTGTCAGCATGCAGTTCCAAACAGGCTTGCAGCACGGCCAAGTGTTCGGGCCGCTAATAGCCTGGGCACACGAAAGTCGTGTTTGGATGTTTGTATGCGGACAACTGTGCCAGCCTGTCCTGAAGCTTGGAGCGATTGACTTCCACAGGGTACTTCAAGCGTCTCATGATGCTGGGCACCTGCACTTGGAGAAGTGCAGCGCGACTCCTTTAGCCAAAGCATCTACTTAAAGACTTCAGCCAGGCACTTCATCCTCCATCTTGCCTTCTACTTCCAGCTGGGGGTCCTTTTGCAGGCCAAACTGGGCCATGTGACATGCGCAGCCGCATGGTAAGGTCACGCCCATGCTGGCACTGCTGGGGTCCAGTTGCGCGATCAAGAACCGGAAAACATCATAGAATTCCTTCGTGGAGGGGTCCTGCTTGCTCTATCAGCGAGGACACATGAAAAGGCTGGAAAACGGGTCCGAACGCCTTCAAGAGCTTGTCATGCGAAAATGTCTTCGAATATCCTCGAGCCTTGGCCACAACTCGATTGTCAAAATCTTGACAAAGACAGTCGGCAACTTCATAAGCGTGAAGATGAGCCCACTGCACACAGAAGCTCCACCACATTCTTGGCGCATTGTGAGGTGAAAGCCCTGTCCCCAATGGGTCTTGGGTCACGCGAATGCCTCCACAGCTGAGGAACTCAAAGCTTTTGCTACTCTGCCGTAGCGTGGACCCGCTTGAAGCAACTCCATTGCAGCTGGCCTTGAACTGACAATTGTTCGGGGCCGCCCTGGCTGAGGAATGCAGTGTGCAGTGTGCTGCACGAATATAATCCCTGGCGCCTGTACCACTGGGAAACAAGGCACGCCTGGCGAAAGCCGTAAGCATGATGCTAGATGCTAGTGCATGCCACGCAATGCAATAGAATGGAGCCATGCTCCACCTGCGCGGCGATGTACCTACATCCTCTCCTGATCCCACCTGCAGCTGGAAAAGGTCAGATCTGGTAGTTTGTGATTACCGTGACTCAGGCTGAATCCGCATCACTGGGCTCTGAACCGAAGACGCTCCAGGAGATTGTGCGCGAAGTCTGCTGACACGAGAAGGCCTTGGCATGTTGTTTCATCAGCAACTAAACACAAAATAATGGAAAATCATTGACTGAGTAAGGTCTTCACTCGCCCAAAGAAGGTCGAAACTTTTGCTTTGGGGTGCTCGTCATGGCAACTGAGACAGATCACACACTGCTGATTTGTGAGTTTCAAGCCGGCTTAGTCGCAAGCCTCGAAGCAGGTCGAGCCGGGCTGCGCAAAGCTGCTTGAAAAACATTTGCATCCGCAGACACAAAAGCCCTTTCTTCCACTGACGACCAACAGCCCAACACCACATCCTTCAAATCCTGAACCCTTCATGCCTGACTGACCTTTAATTACAACAGACGGGAGTGGGAGGTCTGGTTGGAGAAGGAAGCCTCGCAGGGGTTAACTCACTTGTGAATTTAAAAGGAAGCTAGCGACACATCAGGCTGCGCAACGAGGACATGCGAGGACATGCATTTTGATCAAACAGCGTCCATACCTTTCGACCATTGTCTTGATCCACTTGTGTCTGCACAGTAAGTCAGACCCAAAGTGTGCAAAGCGCCAGTTCCGCCGGTTTGGCCACACTTCCACTTTCAGCAGCTTCTCTTCCGAAATAGAAGATAACAGCTTATGCGCAAAGTCTCGTTCCAGCTCTGGTTCCACTTGTCCCCGCACTGTTGTGAACAAGTCCCGGCAGTGCATTTTAACTGCGTCCAGCCTACGACCAATGTGTCCGGGCGGTGATGGAAGCAACAGCGCAGCAGTGAATACAAAAATGATTGCGACAAGAGAGCTCCAGGCCCGCAACCGAACCAACCAAAGAATAGGGAAGAAGACCAGCAATATCTTGGACGTTGGGGCCGCGTGGTTGGTATCCGGTACACAAATTGGAGAAGCATTTATTTTAGCGTCTCTGTTTGCATCGCGGAGCACCGAAGAGGAAAGAGGAACCAGCAAATCAGTTCCGGTGCCAATGAAGATCACGTGGTCGAAATAACCAAGCAAATTGCCTGTGTCACAAAGACGGCTCAAACGTGATCCACGTGCACGCCTACCCTCCATGTGCATGAGCTGGTCAAGCCACAGTGGGCCTGAAAAGCATGATCGCCAGAGTTGTATTCGCCACCAATGAAGCCACGATAGGCCAGGCAAAAACAGGCCTAGGTGCGGCGTGCCCAATGAAACGTAGGCACAACATCTGTCTTTGCAAGATGTAAGCCATGCCAAGGAAGCTCTGGCAATCAGTCCGCCAGTCCCCAGGCACCAGAAACTCAAAGAAAAGAGTTGTCCCGTACTGCTTTCAAGCATATCCAGCTTGGTGGTCACCTCTTGAGCTAGCCGCACAGCTGCGAAATCAATGTCATCTTCTTGTAAGGCTGTCTCATTACCAGGATGCATGTTTTGCGTGCTGGCAACCAAAATCGTTGCCTCAGGCAGCAATGAATGTAACTCATCACGAAGCAATTGCAAACCTGCGGGAGGAACAGATGTGTGACCTGGCACCACCACAATAAGATTCCCATCGCCAGAAAAATCTTTGGCGGAGATCTTGTTGCAGCTTGCCCCACCCCATTCTTGCACATGCAATGACATTTCTGTCATTCAGTGCCTATATGGGCCTACCCGCACGTCATGAATACAAAAGATGCATGACAATTACAGCGTCACCTTCATGCATTGTGCAAGGCTGTAAAGAATCGTGCAAGACAATCACAAATTCACATCATGCCTCCCCGTCCAAACGTCTCACAGTCAAATTTCTGAGCTCAATCTGAAGTTCAATGCTCACCTTTGGTTGACATTCTAGCTGGGAACATCTATTGCATGTTTGCAAGCTGAAACAACTTGAGCCCGCGTATGCGTTCATCACTCCGAATCTTCCGTCATCACCTCGGCCCACTAACCCTAAAGAAGGCTTTCATCCAAACAGCTCGACATGAAGAACGTGAGTTTATTCCCCAACGATGTCAACATTTCAGATGGCGAATATGTCAGCCTATGAAGTTGAAGATACCAATCCGAAAGCGCAAAATACATTTCAGGCCGAAACTAAAATACAACATGCCAGCATGAGTCCGGCCTGCAGCAACCACTCACATAAATTGGAACGCGCATCCACGAATCATTGCATGAGGTATCTCGCGACTCATGTACGATCAGAGTTTGTGTAACACGGGAATTCTCACGAGACATTTTTGGGAATAACGCCACCCAAGCAACAAGTTAAGCGTAAGGAAACTACCCAAGCTCAGGAGGGCAAGCTCTCAGAAGTACAGCTAAACCTTTTTTGAACATGCCTTCACGTGCGCAAGGTATCATCAGGGATGCTTTCATTTCCCAGATCGTCCAGTCCCAGCTTATTGTCAACTCCAAGCTTGCTTTTATAAGTTCTTCACACGCATGAGCCGGCCCGTCCACGTCCAGCTCAAGACCGAATTTCCTGGAAAGGAACGTGATTTCATGCAGCTGCTTACGATGCCTGATTTCTTTCTTCCATGAATTGGTGGCAGGCAAGCAGCATTTCCCCTTGAGGGACACCAAAAAGAACATTTGCATCATACAGCGAATGCTCGCCCCATGCACGCTGAAAGCGACTGTGCAACTTGCACGCCCCCAGGCTTTTGCCCTCAAACAATAAAAACTGACAAGGCTCCAACTCGTAAAGAGCCGGAAGGAAATCCCGTCCTTTGACTCAGGAAAATTTGTGGAATCTTGATCATTGAATTGAAGCGATTGACCTGGGAATCCGCGTTAGGCAGGGCAATCTACGGCGCATGGCCTGAAAAATCTAAGGCGCACGCATGCTCTGGCGCATCTACGCCGCACACAGGGCCCCCGATCCCTGTGACTGTTGACATTTTTGGCGACGGGACGACCAAAAATGTCGACGGTCACAAGATCAAAAGTGACGACAGATTTGCGTTTGGCGATCAGGACCCACCCTTTCGTGACCAGGACCCCCCGATCCCTGTGACTGTTCACACTCTTGAGATGTGAAGATCAAACGCAAGTCCAACAGTGACATTTCTGCGCTTCGCGACCAGGACCCCCCGATCCCTGTGACTGTTCACACTCTTGAGATGTGAAGATCAAACGCAAGTCCAACAGTGACATTTCTGCGCTTCGCGACCACGACCCCCCGATCCCTGTGACTGTTGACACTTTTGAGACGCGAAGACCAAACGCAAGTCCAAAAGTGACTGCGTTTCGCGACCAGGCCCCGCGATCCCTGACTGTTGACACTTTCGAGACGCGAAGACCCAACGCGAGTCCAAAAGTGACGTTAAGGGTTTTGGATTTAGGGTTTATGGGTTTTGGATTTAGGTTTTTTTTCTTCAACGGCCTTTTACGTCTGCACGACATAATGACTCTCAGGTCAAGCCGAACACCAAGCCTGACTCCTTTCGGAATTTCGCCCTCCATTAACCTCCTACTTCAGACAAGCATTGGTACAGCCGCACATTTGCTGGAGCTCCACTGCCACTTACAAACAGCAGAGCACAGCAGACCCTCAGACCCCAAGCCCTCAGTAGAAGACACCGTGCGCACAGCCACCCTCGTTTATGACGAACTGGTGGCCGTTTCCGCTGCCGCCGCCGCATCAGCGCACTGAGGTCCACTCACCTCCATTGGCAAACCCTGCTCGACGTTCAAATCGTTGTTCTCAGCTTCAAAGTCCATCTGGGTAGTCTGTTCGGCAACCACTTGGTCTTCAGCATTTCCACCTTGGTCATGGTCACCCTCAGCCTCCGCTTTCTCCTTGCCTTCTTGGTCACCCTGTTGGCGCAACGGCTCCACCATGACCCTATTTTCAGCCTCCTCCGCCGCTGCCACCATGGCTTGCTGTAACTCCACTTCTCGACGCTGATTTTCTTCTTGCTCTTCATCCGCCGCCATTTGCCTGAACTTCTGGAGCAGAGACGAGCCCCATCTCCACGCAAATGACCCATCGTCAACTTGCCCAGCTTGCCAGAGGAGGAAATACTAGTCCTTTATTGCTTCGCTTCTATTCCTTAACTTAAGGACCAACCATCGCTCTTTTTTTTGCCTAGCGCAAAAGGTGGGGTAGCAGTCAGGCTGTACAACAGCTGGGATCCATCTCAGCTGATGCAACGCCTACGCGGCGTGCGACGGGATGACCACCCGCCCTACCTACCAGGTAGTTGGATCCAACTGTACAAGAACCTAAACTACGCGAGCAGGTATGCTCAGCCTCGGTTGGCTCAACACGGCACCTGTGTGCCCTACGCAGACAGAAAGTCCGTCGGCCTACGTGGACCACACGACACCTGTGTGTCCTACGCATGTAGCACGGCTACAGCCCACGTGGCTCTACCGGCACCTGTGTGCATTTTCATCCCCAGACCGTCTGTAGGGTGGGTGGGTGGGTGGGAGAAAACAAAGCTACCAGCTTGAGAGCTCAAATGACTGCCATACAAAAACTCAACGTGAGCAACATGTATGCTAGTAAATTCTTACAGAGGCTAAACTGCCTCAGCAAACGTTGCTGTCAGTCATTATCGCTCTCAATAACACTTCGAGCTCAGCTTCACCCTCATTCACACCTTGCAAGAAGTATGCTTGCGTGGCTTCCTCCGCCTCCTCGTCCATAGCCTCTTGTGCGAAGGCCGTCTCTTCGTCAACCCCACCATTTTGACCCTCTTCCTCATGATCCTGCTGATCATTCGGCGGAAGACTTCCTGGTACGTGCTCCCCATCAAACACTGTCTCCTCTGGCTGGATCACATAGGACAACCTTTCACCCTGTTTGTACTCGAGGTCTCTCGAAGTAGTTGCGACAACCTGCCTCCATCGGTCATGACCGTCACTTTCACCCTCTTGCTACGCTTGGCTTCAAAGGGATTTGCCATGGCTTCGCGCGTGGCCTCCTCCTCCCATTCCCTGTACTTGGCCGCAGTGAACTGTCCCAACGTTGGAGGTCACCCTGTTTCTGTCTTTCGCTTTCTTCTTCATCCCTTTTCTCCTTGTCAGCCAGCTGTTGCTTCTCGAGAGCCGTAGCTTTTCGCTTGGGTCCATCAGGCAGGGTCACCACAGTCTCTTGATCGCTATGGCCCACTTCTTCGAGGTTGTCTTGGACCTGGATGACCTGTCCCTGCTGACCCTCCAAACCCTCTGGCGG